CGCTGGCAATTCCTTCAGGTCCCAAGATTATGCAGGCAACCATAGGACTGTACTTTCTCAAAATTGAGATTTCAACTTTAAGGGAAATAATGGCCCCTGAAGGCCTCCAACATAAAGCGTGTGCCTAAGTTGCTAACTAGAATTTGGTTATCTACCCGGCTGGCAATAAAAGGACACGCTGATTCTCCTTCGCTCTCATCCCTTTTATTCAGTTCCCTTGAGGATTTCATTAGAAGAGAGGTGACTGGCAGGATAGGACTGGGGACCCCATTCATTCCTTAAACAAGTATCCTCAAATATAACATATTCAAATCCCAAGCTGGCTTCAGAATCCTCTAAATGTATATATGAGTTGCTTTATTGAGCATCTACCACTGTGCTATTGAAAATAATGACGAGTGTGGATAGGTTTAGAGTAGGAAATGATGAATAGGGAAATTTTTACGTTTGTCATCTCATTTAGAGAAATCGTAACATGGTATGAATCTCTGCTTTAAGCATACATGAAAGGAACCCATAAACTAAACTCTGAATGAGATACACTACACCTTCTAATGAAATCTGCTCAGTCCCTCTGCTTGTTCAATTTTCCTCGATTTGTTATGAAAAATAACATTTTCATCAACCTATTTCACAGTAAGTTGGAATACCCTCTGGCATAATACATTTTCAGTTAAATAATAGCATTCATTAAAATTCAGGTTCCCAGAAGGCAGAAACTTTGTACTCTACTTGGTCTATATTATACTTAATGTGTTTGTCTTTACAACACCAGTGATTACGATGATAATGCCCGGTGTCCAACAGCAAAATAGCATATGTCATAGTGAGGTTGTTTGGAAACTCGCAGTTGTGAGATTATAAGAGTTGCCTGCTGGCGAGTATGCACTTCCAATGTGAGATAAAAATGAATCACATATGTCTTCCCCACAGTGATGGGCTTACCACAGGAAAGATTAAGTAATGTTTTAGAGTCCAGTCACAACTTGACAAAAAAGAACCTAAAAATGGGTCCTTACATGTTGTTAAAGAGCAGGGATTCCAAAAGGGGACTTCTCTCCAAGAGAAAACAAAGTTGCTGCATAGAACCTTGGTGTCCTCTAAAAATCAAGAACTGTTGCTCTTACTACAACCGGAGGTGGTGAGAAGGTGCCAAAGCACGGACAAGACACAGAGACAGGTGCTCTCCCTGCAAGCAGCTGCCACATAGTGATTCACAGTTTGCAAAAGCAAATTTCTCAGCAGCAGAGACGCCTGAGTTCACCTACCACCAAGAAGCTTTCTATTTCATTTGAACAATTCTATGAATGGGGAAACAGAGATGGTGTCTTCTCCAACCCAAAAGGCGACAGGGACAAACCAAATATACCTGACATGGCAGAAGAGACCCGACAAGGGAATTAGCTTCTTGTGGGACTTCTGCAAACTGGTATATGACCTAACACACATCATTTCAGTTCTCTACCACTCAGTTCCCTAATACATAAAATTAGAGGATTAGATAAATCATCCCAGCTTTTAGACTTTACAGTTCTAAGCAACATAGTGTAAATAAATACCCAGAACTCTGTAATATTTAATAAAATATATTCTTTCATGCAATGTCCATGTAATAAACAAGGTGACTGATGTATTCAAAGTACTTGGACACACAGATAATGACAAGAAAGGAGACAACCTCTCTAAATCCAAGAATTATTCTTCTGAAGATCATTAACAAATTTGTTCACTGGGAGAACTAAAATTACTAAAAGGAGAAATGTAAGTAGGGGAACAAAGCAAAAACAAACCGTAGTGCCAAGTCTCCATGGAAACTCTGGAGAGTAAGCACGAATGCCACAATCATACTGAGAAAAAAAAGTGTTATAGGCATACATTTTGCAAAAATTAAAAAAAAAAATTAAAGATTCCAGCCACTCTATGCTAGATAGTAGTACTCTCTAAAGATCTGATTGTTCCAATCAGCATTATTATTTGATGACACTGCCTGTTGTTTCACTGAGATCCTGCTGATTCCTGAGCATCATACAGTACTAGAAATGGAAAGACATAAAATGGCATGTAGTCCACTCTACCTGATACTTTGCATCCCTACCAATGGGCCTTTTTATGTCCCTCTGTTCTTAATTGTATAAGGCATGCATGATACTCATTATAATCAAAGTGTAAGGTAGGGATTTACCTGACTCAGAAAGCAATGCTCAAAATAAAGAGATGGGAGCTTACAAAAAAATTCTGGTCTCATACTTGTAATGAAACTTTTTATAAGCATGTGTTATGGAAATTCCCTGAGTTGAGAAAAGCCATTTAAACCACGTCCCTCACCAAAAAAGGAAACTCTCAGAAGATCACTTCACATATCATGAGACTTCCATGTCCCGACGAGGACCCCTCTGGAAAGAACTCCCACGTCCTCCATAGGCCAGCAAGGAACAGTGTGAGACAGCTAGCTCGCTGCATGCTAGAGACAACTGCTTTTAAATTATTTTAAAATGAGAACAAACACTTTAACCCCAAAATGGATTAAAGTTAACAGAATAAATAAAAGACCTATGCTAAGCAATCTAACTTACCAGACAGGAAAAAGGAGATGAACGTCAATGAAAGACGTGTGTTACACAAACACGAAGCAACTCATTTGTTTTGATTCACAAGCCATGCTCTCTATCAGCTCAAAATGTGGTCTGTTTTCTATGCTACCCTAAATCAATATTAAGGGAATTGGAATTATTTAGAATTATTTATTTATCCATTATTTATCAAGCGTAATAATTTGCCCTGTGTCTCTTTCACAGAGTAGTTTCTCATATCCATGTAGGTTTCACAGTAATGAGTTTTAGGTATTTTTCTCCTTGCGTTTTATCTTTTCAAATTTCTTTTTTTAGTATTCTTTCTCTCATGTGATGAATAATCATTAAAGAATAACCATGTGTCATCACTGTACTAGATACTAGATAAAATAAATATAAATAAGACATCGTCCCTGTCTCAGTTTTATAGTGGCAAAGACAGACAAATGTAAATAAAGCATTCAATGAATTGTTAAAGGTACAAAAATAAAGGTATAATACTGTAAAATTAAGTAATGCAAAGGAATGACTAGCCATTGATATCTATGGGAGGAGTGGGGGTCAGAAAATCATTGGGGGTAAACCCTAGAGCTGCATATTAAGCAAGAAATTAGATACGATAGTAAATAAAGTACTGTAGGCAGGCAACATTATTACTTCTAATACTAGTCCAATGACATACACATTACCTAGCTTGATACTAGCTTGATACTTCCCACAGATGAAACTATTGTCTTTTTTGGTTTTCTTTTTTGGTTTTCTTTTTTGGTTTTCTTTACATGCTTTAATTTGAATAACCTATCTATATTTGCCTTCAAGTTCTTGGATTCTTTAACCCATTATGTCCAAGTTGCTGTTGAATTTCATCAGATGGATTTTGCAGTTCAGTAATGTCCATTTGGTACTTTTCTTTTAAGACTGTAATAAATTTAATTATACTAGAACATAGGCAAGGGGCTGGAAAACTGAATTAGAAACTTTCTGAAAAGTCAAGTATTGACTTTTTTGTTATTTTCTTTGAAAAGAACAATGTCTACTGTAATTTCTAATATCAACTTGGCTTTACCTAATACTTTTCCTCTTTTTAAGGAGAACTATCTTCACCTCCTAAACAACATAAAAATTAGAGATTTACAAGTTTCCAACACCAGATTTCATATTTCTATTTTTTTAAGATTTTATTTATTTATTTCAGAGAGAGAGAGCATAAGCGGGGGGGAGAGGGGCAGAGGGACAAGCAGACTCCTAACTGAGCAGGGAGCCCAACCTGAGGCTCAATCTCAGGACCCCAGGATCATGACCTGAGCCAAAGGCAGACACTTAACCGATTAAGCCACCCAGGCACCCCCAGATTTCATATTTCTAATGTAATGTGGACACAAAGGCGCTGCTGGTTTTAGAACAGTACAACACTGGTGAGATCAGTGAGCTACATGCACTACCTGATATAAAAATATCCGTAATTCCTTACACTACCTCTTTTTCATTGTTCTTCCTCATCTCCAAAAAATGAGATCAAGAAAGGTAGGATACAAAAGGCAGCATTTAGTTTTTTTCATAAAGTACTATTTTTAAAAGAGACTAACCCAGGAACTCATGGTTTTCTATGGTAGTCCTTAATGTTTGCAGATCAGAAAATAAAATACCCCCTCATGATACAAACACCTTACTTATTAACCAATCTACATAAATAATGAAATTACTCACACTGCAGGCCTAGAGTATGCTCATTCCCTGTTGCTCTGATGTGGGCAAGCAACCGTGTTAAGTTCCGGAGCCAGACTTCGGTCTATCTTAAGAATGAATGACGGGTAAGTTTGAACAATCAGGATTTTTCATCACAGCTGAAGCCAGTAGCAATTCCTTTTTTTCCTATTTTAATTAATGGAAGTCATTCTTAAGAATATGTTGTCCAACAAATAAAATGCTCTCAGGATTTGTTCCTTGTCTGTGATTTACACTGATTCCGCCTGTGTTATCATCCACTACCCTGGAATGGCATTTGCTTTGCAGCCTGTACCCAGGATGCTCGTTCCAGGGTCAAGAACTTATAAAGAAAATAAATCTTTAAACAGCCATTTTAACTGCTGCTCACACATGACCTCCAGCGCATCTGTGTTCCTAAGGCAATGGGCTTCTGTAGACCTTTTAGCAGGACTCAGTCCTCGTCCGTGAACAAGTTCTGTTACTTTCGCAGCAAGTCGTTTCTGAGAACCCCGTTTTTCTCTCTCTCTGACTCGCAGCTGCATTATATGGTCAATCTCTGGAAGGGGCCGAAAAGGGAAGAGCTTCGGGTACCCTTCTACCGAATCACCTCACGGCCCGGCAAAGAAGTGACCGATTGCAAACGCGAGCGTCTGGGGTCTACTTGGCCAAACAGCGCTGCCCGCCCACTTCACCAGGTTCGCTCCAGTCGGAATTCGTGGAGCACCGACCCCGAGGACGTCTTTCCAGTCGCCCTGCAGATGAACTCGCATCCGGATACGACGTCACCCAGTGAATCAGTCCACCCTGCGGGACCTGACTCCAGCTCGGGCGGGAGGGGCGAAGGGCCGGAGCCCCAGCCGTAAGCGGTAAGCCCAATCCGCCCTCGCGGCTCTGGAGCCGGTCGCGAGGCGGAGCGCGCTCAGCAGCACGCGCGCGGCAAAGTGGCCGCCGCCTGCCGCCAGGAGTGCACCAGCGGCCGCTTCCGCTCCCGGGCCGTGTTGCCCAGCACGGGAGGCAGCCCCGGGCCGGCCCAGCGGTGCAGCGCGGCCGGTCACGAGCCGCCACCGGCGCTTTCAGCCCCCGGTGACGCCAGGCGCCCTGCTCGCATCTCGCGCTCCGTGGGCTGCAGCTCAGGTCCCAGGAGCACCGTGGCGCCTCCCACCAGTGCGATCTCTCTGGGGCAGGCTCGCCGGAAGTGAAACAGGCCGAGCAGCGCCGGCAGGTGCCCCACCTCAAGTGAGATGGCCGTGGCTGAAGCTGCTGAAGGTGGTCTGAGCAGTTGCGGCCACCGTGGAAGAGCTGCGGGAGCTCCATCTCCCTTCCCTTCTCAGGTAAGAACTCCCGAACTCTCGCGTTTTCTGCGCCACCAGCAACCGTGAGCTCGCGAGTGGCATCACGCAGCCCCAAAGGCAGAACTTCCGAGGGCCCTGGGCTGCCAACCCACCGGCCTGCCCGGGAAGAGCGGTGACATGGGCGCCGCCATCTTAGTGGCAGCACGAAAGGGATGCTGGGATCGTAGAGGTGTTTTGTTTTGTTTTGTTTTGTTGTTCCCCCCACACACGCATATACACACACCCCTCAGTACCCTCCTCCGACCCGACTTGGTACATTCTTAAAAACAGTTTTAAAGTATTAAAAAACGGTCAGAATGTATGTGCATACGATATAAAACCATCACCATCTTCAAGACAGGAAATATTTGTCACCTTCAAAAATCTCTTTGTATTCCTTTGTATCACTTCCACTAATACATCCCTAGGCAATCACTGATAGGCTTTCTGTCACTACAGATTAGTTTGCATTTCCAGGAATTATCTGCAAATGGAATCATGTACTATAGTCCTTTTCTCCCCCCCTTCCTGGCTTCTTTCCATCAGAATAACTATTTTGAGATACATCTGTATTTACCAGCAGTTTGCCACACACACACACCCCTACCCCAGCCTTTCTGTATTTACTTTTAAGTGTACCACAGTTTATCGATTCATCTGAGGATGAACACTTGGTTCCCAGTTTTGGACTATGGAAATGAAGGTGGTATAACTTTGATGTAAACATCTTTATACACTTTTTTCTTTAATTTCTCTTGAGTAAGTACCAAAGAGTCACAGTATGTGTACGCTTCACTTTGTAAAAAACTACAAGGTATTTTCTAACATGGTTGTACACTTAAACATTTCCGCCGATAGTATATGAGAGCTCCTGTTGGCCCACATCCTTGAGAACAAAAATCATGGTAAGAGTTTTTCAGGTCAATTTTAGTTAACTGTAATTGGTGCTATGTCATTGAGATTTTAATTTGGCGGTTTCTCTCATAAGTAATAATACTGTGCATTTTTTTCATGTGTTTATTTAACATTTGCATATTTTGTGAAGTGTCTGAGGTTTTATCAACGTTTTTCTTAAAGATTTATTTATTTTAGAGAAAAAGAGAGTGTGGGTGCACACAAGTGGGGAAGGGGCAGAGAGAGAGAATCCCAAGCAGACTCACCCACTGAGGGCAGGAGGGTGTTTGGGGGTGTGTGCTGGATCTCAGGACCCATGAGATCATGACCTGAGCCAAACCACCACTCAGACGCTTCACCAACTAAGCCACCCAGGTGCCCGGGTTCTATCAATGTTTTAAAATCATGGTTTGTGGTCTTAATATTGAATTTTAAGAGATCTTTATACATTCTGCAGTTTCTTTGTCTGATAAATGTCTTAAAAGTACTTTTCTAATCTAATTATTACCTTTTTATTTTCATAGTAGTGTCTTTCAGAAAGAAAAGATTTCATTTTCATGAAGTCAAATTTATAGATATAGATATAGATATGTGATTCTGTAGCTAGTTCTAAAGATATATGTTATGGTTTCCATTATTTGTGTTCTACCTGAGAAAACATTGCCTACCCCATTTTTTAAATGAGTTTATTCTAAGAATTTTATGATTTCTGATTAAACATTTAGATCTATAATCCATTTTAAGTTAATATCTGAGAATGGTATGAATTAATGGTCAGTTTTTAAAAGTATATGATATCCAGTTGATCTTGTACAATTTGTTAAGAGTATTTCCCATTGAATTCCTTGAAGCTTTTATCAACAATTCCAGACTTCTAGAATCAATTTGATGATGTGCTGAATTGCAAAGAGCATTGTCCCTACCTTGAGTAGAAGAAACTGCAAATTAACAATTTTGTTTTAAGCTGTCAGAGGGGTTGGTGCAGAGGAAATTGGTTAATGAAAAAGGGGCTACACAGGAGAATTTTTAGGGTTACAGAACTGTTCTGTATGAAACTGTAGTGTTGGGTACAGTGTTGGTATTTGTCAGAATCCATAGAGAGTGAACTTCATGGTAGGCAAAATTTAAAATTTCAACCATAATGTCAAGGGATCCTAACCTGGAGTACAGAAGGTGACATATAAATCTAAATGTATTACAAACATACAGTATGACTTCACTGAAGAAAGTGAAGGTAAAAAGGAACTGACCTGAGTAGTTTGGAAACAGTGTTTCTACTAAATATTGCTAAGGCCACAGACAAAAAGAACCATATATAAAGATTGTACTCTAGTTATTAAATTGATTTCCCATGAGTATGGGTTACCAATTCTGAAACTACTTTACATGTATTCTACAGTTAAAGCAGCAAGTAAATAAATTATAGTTAATGATAACCAGTTTCCTCACTGTCAAATAAAAAAGTTAAAAATAAGCAAGGGAGGAGTTCTAAAATGTCCTGTGGAATTGGATTAGCACTGGAAACACTTCAGATGTGTGCATATGCATAGCTTTGTGTACATACACGTATTTCTTAGCTCTGTCCACTGACAGGGCCTACAAACAGTGACATATCAGCAGTGAGCACACCGAGAACTCAGCTCTTAGTTTCCAAAGACAGTTCCTCAGTAAGTTTAACTAAGGTCCTTTGGAAAAATGACTGATTCTCAGGGCTTGAAAAATAGGACAAGATGATTTGGCAGATCGTGAAGTGCCAGGAAGAAAGTTCAAAGAAAGCAAAGCATAGCTGGGGGTGTGTAAAAAGGACACAGAAACCAATTAAAAGAATTCCCAATGGCCACACCTGGAAAAAATTGAGCAATAAAATAAATGATAATTTTGTATTACAGCCCCAAATACAAGATATATATATATATTCATCGATATTGATACAAATAAAAGGTTAAATGAATAAATAAATGTGGAAGAATGTATCAGTCAGTATTCTCCAGAAAATAATAACAGTAGTAGGTAGGTGGGTTGGAAGGTAGATACATGAACAATAGACAGTAGCTAGATTTGGCGATATAGAGATAAAGATTTATTTAAAGGGATTGGCTCAGGTGATTGTTGGGACCAGCAATCTAAAACTTGTAGGGTAGTGGAAACTCAAACAGGATTTGATTCTGCACCCTTAAGGCAGAATTCCTTCTTTTCCAGGAAATTTCTCTTTGCTCTTAAAGCATTCAAATGGTTGGATGACATCCACCCACATTTTTTTAGAATAATCTCCTTAATGTAAGTCAGTTTTAGATATTAATCATATCTACAAAATGCCTTCACAATAACACCTAACAGTTTGATTTAAAAACTGGGAAAGCTGACATATAAGACTAAACATGGTAGAAGTACACTTCACCATTGTGGTATTCTTCCCCCACACCCATAGTAATCTTAGTGTAATCATGAGAAAACATCAGGCAAACACAATTGAAAACCATTCTACAAAATATCTGACTGGTAGTCTTCAAAAGTTTCAGTCATGAAAAACAAGACAGAGAAATTATCACAGGCTGAAGGAGACTAAAAAGTCAGGCTAACAAATGAAATGAGGTATCCAGGATTAGATTCTGGAACAGAAAAGGACATTAGTGGGAAAACTGGTGAAGTTTAAATGAAGTATATAGTTTAGTTAATATATTGTACCAGAGTGAAATTCTTAGTTTTTTCAAATGTACCCTGGTTATGTAAAATGGTAACATTAGGGAAAATTAGGTAGAGGGTGTACAGGAACCCTTTACTGTGTTACCTAATGTTATGAGAAACTAAAGTTATTCTTAAAAGTTAATTAAAAATAAAGCAAGAGATATTTTAATATATGATAGGCAGAATCAATATTAATATTGTATATAAAAACAATTAGATAATAAGTATCATTTGAAAAATAAGTAAATGAAAAATAGCCAATTACCTAAAGAAAAACATTTAAATCCACTTGTAATAAAAGTGACTTTAAAAACCTGAGTTACTATTAAATGCTTATCAAATTTCCAAATAGTTTCCTATTCATCACTCCCCAGATACAGTGACAAGATCCATTATGGATACTGTGCAGTGGTGTGTATTGGTACAATATTTCTAGAGGAATATTTGATATTTCACATAAAAAACTCAAGCTATCATGTGATCTAGCAATTAAAGAGTTAGATTTTTAATTTAAAGGAAAAGATGAAAATAATTTGTGTACACCTATATAAAGAAGTGAAAAACAAGGTATATCCAAAAATAAGGAATTTGTTAAATATATTACAATAAACTCATACAATGAAAAATTATATGGGCATTAAATTTAAATTATTTGGTAGAGATACTGCTATGGAAAAATGTTTAAAATATATTGATATTTGGGGTGCCTGGGTGGCTCAGTTGGTTAAGCGACTGCCTTCAGCTCAGGTCATGATCCCGGAGTCCCAGGATCGAGTCCCGCATCGGGCTCCCTGCTCAGCGAGGAGCCTGCTTCTCCCTCTGACCCTCCCCCACTCATGTATTCTCTCTCTCTCTCATTCTCACTCTCTCAAAATAAATAAATAAATCTTTAAAAAAATATATATTGATATTTGAGGGACACCTGGCTGTCTCAGTAGGTAGAACATGTGACTCTTCATCTTGGGTTCGTGAGTTCTAGCCCCACATTGGGGGTAGAGATTACTAAAAAAAAATAATAATGATAATAAATTAATAAATCAGTAAATTTTAAAATAAAATATATTGGCATTTGAGAAACAGTGTTATATTTATGAATGTATACATAACAGGTTAAAATATGCATCTTGGTTATGTGGTGAGGTCTCTTTATCCTCTTTATCCATAAGTACACTAGAATCACTTCATGACCCCTCTGTTAACTGTTGCCAAAAAAAGTTAAGCTTTCCAATTCATGGGAACTGAGCCCCCCACTGAATGCAATCTTAGTCTCTTTGTGATTGTTATTGTCATTTCAAGTTTCTTCACCTCCTCTTCTCCCCAGGATTAATCTAAATTTCCACAAGAGCTTGAGTATCTGGATCACCCTAGGGAGGGTCATCTGGTCTGAGTGCTGTTCTCAGTTCTAGTAGACAGCTCATTGC